CTGAGATGGAAATACTTAAGTTGAAAATCCTTTTACTCCATTCCATAATCAAAAACTGGCATTTCTGAGTAGATCGGATGTAGGTGTCCTATCCTTCCTTTCTGTATGCTGTTCAGGAGGACACTACAGCTGGATGCAGATGTCTTGGAGTGCTCTGGTACTCCCTTTGTAAAATGAGTTGTGTTCTGTGTGTAGGTGTTATATGAGTGTCACAACCTCAATCTTCGCAGCTATGAAAGAGGAGTGACATAAAAGGAAAATGCTGTGCCCAGAGGACGCAGTTTCCATTTATGTCTTGGTTCTTTAAAGAACAGAGATAATTTTTTTTCCCCCAGCTTATGATACGGAATACCTTTGCAACTTCCCCTCCCTGCAAAAAAGAAGAGAGAAAAGTCAGAGGATAATGGTGAAGATGATAGAGGCTGTGAAAAATACCAGCTTTTCTGTTCGCCACCGCTGGTTAGTCCGAAGGATTAACAAGTCCGTAGCTAGAAAGTACATGTGTTTTATAAATTAGTTTAAGAAACTCTTTGCAAGGAATAGTTTTCTGCAAGTGGCAGCAACCTCATTTCCAGGGCCTATTAGTGCACAAGTTGCAACACATATGATAGTATTTCAAGACAATATAGATGAGCTTTACGGAGGAGAAGACAGTCATACCCAAGGTTTGCCATCTGGTCTGTCTCTTGGCTGCCTTTCAAAATGTTGTCAAATGCTCTCAGAGTTCACATATCGTAAATCTGTCACTAAAGTAAACAAGCACCCAGAGCTCCCTGACTGTATTTCAGAAGTGCTAGGCTCTGCTCTTTTGGGGAACGGCAGTGTCAGAGCAGCATGGCTCTTCCTCAGATGGCTTAAGACTAGGCAGAACTTCATCGATTTTTATTGAGTCATGTAGCAAAAATCCTGCACTCTGTTTTGGAAGCATGGAGCAGAGGCTAGTGTCACCAAGGTGCAACACCTCTCTCCTGCCTTTTCTTTTTGAACACTTTCCTTGGCCTTATCTTCAGCAAAAGTGGGGTAAAAACTTCCATAGGGAATTTCATTTGTGATATCAACTGACATTTGTAGCAGTCGGCGTCTTTTTCCTGTGCATGTTGCTCACTCTGTAAATCATCCAAGAGTTTAAGATCATTAACTCCTCTCTCTTAATGGGATTCCCAGCTGTCAGCATATTACCTATCCTCTCTGTCATCCATCTGACAAGAGCCATTGGCAATTTCCATTTATAATTTTCTGAAAAGAGAAATTGTAGATATGAGTAAATTCTCAAAATACCAAATCTATGCAAAGAACTGAATAGTTATATTTCATTGGACCAGCATCCGACATTCCCGTCGATTCATTTGGGCCTTTCTGTCTCCAGGATCTATGTGGGAATGAGAAAACCTCCCACTGCTGTATTTTGATTCTCATGAGGCCTGTCTCGTGCATTACTTAAAGGAGTCTCAGTGGCCAAGCAGTTTAATCTCAAGATGCAGATTTCACTTTAAAAGGTTCTGCAAACCGAGAAGTTAATAAATAAATAATTAAAATACTTTGCACTTCTGTAACACTGGGTGTCAAGATAGTTTACTAGTGCTAGTGAATTAAGTCTTGTTCCAGCCAGTGTGAGGAAGCAGAGAGGAAGCACTGAGAGGGTCTGTGCAAAGGCCGAAGCAAACCTGTACTACTTTTAACTCTAACTTTCTCCTTTCAGATACGCTTTCCAATTTTGCTGGTATCTGAGCACTTCACAGTTTAATTATTTATTCTACAGTTATTCCTGCTAGTAGGAAAGTACAGCTAGGTATGCACAAACCTTTCACCTGCTAAAGGTGACTTCTGCCTAAAAAACTTTGTAGAGCAGATCTATGAATCAATACTAGGACAGAGAAAGTTGTTGATTTAGCAGCTCAGTGTCTGGATTAGCAAAATGGTTGGATTAGCAGCTATTTTAGTTACTATAAATTAATGCAAGCTTCAGCAGAACTTGAACTTCAGCCCACATCCCTCCACTCTCTGACAGGCCATGTAACTTGAGCCTAAAAGTACCAGTTAATTTGGTCTGGAGGTTGTGTGTGGATAGAAGTCAGTTTAGGAGCAGTGCTCGTATTACAGGCTGTGCAACCAACTTAGGCAAGGCAAGCCCCAGTAATACTCAGGATCATACCTGAAATCAGAGTACGTCAGCACCAAGTGAGACAGCATGGCACAAAGATCTTTAAATTAATGCCAATATGGCAAAATTTTGTGTGGTGACGAGACACTTGCGTAGGTTAACATGCTCATGTGGAGAAGCAAAAGAAATCAAACCACAGATTAAGCCTAGTTGGAGCCCATGACAGGCATTTGGGGATTGCAATCACTTATTTTGGATGAACAACAACTGTAACAGGCTGTCTTTGCCCTTAGCTGTGGGAACTATGGATTGAAGCAATTTAGCTCCGTTCAGACCACGGTACTGTGCAGGCTCTCTGGCTATATTCAAACTCATTCTTGTGTCTCATGCAAAATGGTGCAATTCAGTAGCAGTTTGCCATTTAGACACAGGATTTTAAAACAACCAAATAACATGTTGAGGCAAAACAGAACATAGTGAGAAAGTTAAGTATTCCAGGCAATCTAAAAATGTGGGTCTTAAACACCATATTATGTATCAAGATGAAATTATCAGCCTTAGTTAAGGTTTCTTTAATGTATTTTTATCCAATTGTGGCTCACTATAAAATACTATTGGTCTAAAAAATGATTAAGTGTGAGTTGATAGTGGTTACCCCTTTTGCCAAACTGGTTAATATTGTCAGGTCCCAAGTTTTCCCACTGCTGTTTTTCAGTGGGCAGTGTTTAACTGGGGCATTGTGCATTGTATCAAGTGAAGCAGTGTCTCTTAGGAGCTCCTTCAGAGCAAACGCATTGTTCATCTCTCTGTTAATCTCTGCAGTTAAAACATGTGCCCCAACCTCCTAAATGTAATCTGGGGAAGAGTCCCCGCTAAACTCCTGCTGCTCTTTTGGCCTCTCTCTTCCCCACTCCAGCCCTTTTTCCCACTTTGCCTTTTGGGGAGCACTCTCCACTTGCCATGGGCCTGTCTTGGAGGTTAAAACACTGAACTGGGCGCCAGAAAATCTTGGTTCTTCAAGTGACTTGCCATTGGACAAGTTACTTGCTCTTCTGCAAATGAATTTCCTCCTTCATAAAATTATTATTGTACTTCCTGACACATAAAAACATGGGACAGCTGTGGCTAGTGCGTTTCCCTGCAATTTCTGGACACACAGACATGCACAGAGTTGTAGGTGCTTATCTGCATGAGATGGGTTGACCTTGGCTGGCTGCTGGTGGCCCACCCAGCCGCTATCTCACTCTTATTATTTGACAGGGTGGGGGAGAAAATAAGATGAAAAAATGCTTGTGAATCAAGATAAACACAGGGAGATCACTTACTAATTACCATCACAGGCAAAAGAGACTCAGCACGCTGTATTGGCAATTAAAATATATTTGGATGGTGAGAAACAAAACCACCTTCCCCCCAACCCACACTGTTTTCCCCAGGCTCAACTTCACTCTTGCATTCCCAACTCTCTACTTTCCCCCAGCCCTGAGCGGTGCTGGGGGTATGGGAATGGGGGATTGCAGTCAGTACCTAACGCTTCGTCTCTGCTGCTCCTTCGTCCTCACACTTTTCTCTGCTTCAGCGTGATCTCTCCTGCGGCTGCTGTTCTTCAGGGTAAACTTGGTCCTGCGTAGGTCCTTTACGGGCTGTGGTTCCTGTCAGGAGAATCTGCTCCTGCATGGGCTCTCCACCTGCCACAGCTCCCTCTGGGAATATCCATCTGCTGCAGCGTGGGGTCCTCCACAGGCTGCAGTGTGGATGTCTGCTCTGTCATGGTCCTCTCCATGGGCTGCAGGGAGATACCTGCTCCAGCCTGGTCTCTCTGGCTGCCAGGAAACCTCTGCGCCGGCACCTGGAGCATCTCACCCCCATCTTCCTCTCAGGCCTCGGTGCTCACAGGGCTGCTTCTTACACATTTTTCCTCTCTGCCATGCCACGTTTTGTCCTTTCTTAAAGGCATTTTCACAGAGGCACCACCGGCTTCTCGGATGGGCTCAGCCGGGTCCTGCCACGGGTCTCTCGCGGAGCTGGCTGGAAGTGGCACGGGGCAGCCCCTCACCTCTCCTCACAGAGGCCCTGCAGCCCCCGCTGCCAGCGCCTGGGTACAGAAACCCCATACACCGAGGTACCTGAGTTAGGAGAGGTGTCTCACTGGAATCCCTCTTTGGTCACTGGAAAGAGACAGGCTCCTCATGAGGGCAGTTCTGCTCTTAGGTCAATCTGATTGGCACTTTGGTTGCATTTTTCTGCTGATTATAGATCTAAACAACCTAGGTCCTAAAGCTTCACGTAGGTTGGGATTAATCTACACACCTGATAATTTCTCTAAGTACTGTGGGTGGGGTATACAGCCTAGCATTGTTCCTGTAAGGCCATAGTTCACGGAAAACCCCGCTTACATAGCTCTAGTGGTTCCTGATAAGATCTGCTATGGGCAGAATTTTTATCTGATCAAAGGGGCCCAATCCAGTATCGCTGAAATACTGGATGCACATCACTGGGGCTGGTATAGCATCTGGACCATGGCTAGGTCAACAGTCATTTGCATGTCTTTGAAGCTGACAGTGTGTTTTTTATCTAGTCTTTTAATTTATTTGGCCTTGGTTCACACTAGAAGCAAAGGCATGTGACACAGCAAAACATATTTGGCTTGAGCTCTCTTAATTTGGCGTATTTAACATGAGTGATTGCTTCATTTATGTAGCAGCATTCATATAAAACGGCAAGCCTGCACAGATGAAGAACAGAGAACAGCATCTACGGTAACATGCCCGCAATTTCTCTTTAATTTTGCAGTGGTTCTGGCATTTTCCTGTGGGATTGCACACTAATGCTTGTGCCTTTCCATGAGCCCCTTCTAAGTTTACATTGGATGTTTTCTTTTCTTTTCTTTTTTTTTAAGGAATTAGCTAAGAGGACTCCCTCTAAGCATCCTGATCACCCAGCTGTCCAGAACGCATTGCAGGCAATGAAGACAGTCTGCACAAATATCAATGAGACCAAGAGACAGATGGAGAAACTGGAAGCCCTTGAACAGTTGCAGTCCCACATTGAAGGATGGGAGGTATGATGTAGGACTAGTGAGCTCCCAGGAGGCAGTTCGCTACACAGTTTAATGGCTTGAAGTTTAGTGACTCATACTGTGTACAGGGATTTCTGTTTCTTAGGTGACGTGTAAACGCTCTTGAAGGTGTGGCTGGCATCACTCTGAGTTTAGAATTTAGTGTTTATTTTGCGTGTGCAGGTTGCTGCTAAATTGTAGCAGAACAAATGGATTATGAAAGAAAGAAAGGTGTTAGAGCTAGAATGGACTGAAATTTCAAATGGGCAGATCTCATTTGAAAGACAAATAGGTCAAGATGAAATCAGGACTGGTCTAAATAACGGAAGTTTCTCTTTCCGTTCCTGCAAGCCTTTAGTTTTTCCAGGAGCTTTGAAAGTTAGCTCACTCAGCTTCATACAAAGTTCCTGTATAAAAGATAAAGGTTAGATTAGTAAGCATTAGATTATAAAGCAACTGGTATGTTTGTGTTTGCTCTTATTAAGTTACTCATGGATGTGTTTCTAGTGATGTGTTTATCAGTAGGTGGATCTGTGTAGGTAGAAGCATTTACTATGGAAAAGAGAAAAATAAGAGAGGGAGAAGACTAGTATGTGAAGCTTGGGGGAAGAGGAAATCTGGAAAAAGAGCCACTCAGTGGAAATACTGGGAAGTGAGGATGGTGTGCAGAGGGTTGGCAGCTTATCTTGTGATGACTTTAGTTGAGGTCTTCAAATCAGTGGAGTTGGAAGCCTCTGGGAGGTGCTCCATAGGGAGTCAGTGGTGTTAAATGGTCTCATGGAGAGAATGGTGACGGCGTTTAGTGAGACTGACATTTAAAATGTTGAGGCTGATCATTGCCAGCTGAGGATTTCTTAGCTGAGGACATTTTGCTAGAGGTCATGTAAACTTCCTCATGTTCGGACTCTTGGGTGCTCTCCATGACTCTCTTTTGGGTTGTTTTCTTATCTTTCGTGTATGTTTTAAACCTTGCTCATTTTTTCCCTGAAGGATGTTCTTGGCATCCAGCTAAAGACATGAGAAAAACCCAGATATCCAGCTGTGTATTTTTTGGATAGCAAGCTCAGCAAACAGAGTCATATAATGTTCTATATAGCAAGACTCATAGAGACGGTTAAAACCATTTCAGGTTCAATGCAACTCATGGGTCATCTAGGCATAGGCATGATTTGAACTCTGGAGCCTGAAGCATGACTGTTAAAGTGTCCATGATGCGATAAATGAAGTGGCATCCAAAATTATTGGCTTTTTTGTTAGGGTTTAACTTATCTACAGCAACATTCTGGGGCTGAAAACCCTTTCAGTTTTGTTTATATACACTGTTTTGTTACAAAGTCACCTAGGTCACTCAGCTCAAAATTTCAAAAAGGAAGAAGTGTTTTTCCCTCCCAGTAAGCTGTGGAATGTTTCTAAATTATTCTAGTGGCATATTAAAAGGAGGAAAACTAGCTTTATACATCACAGATACATGCCGATGCTCAACGTGATGGCATTTTTTTCTTCTGTACATGTAAGGAAGTTTGAAACTGATTGACAGTTTCCTGTCTTGGGTTTCCACAGTGCCAGGGGTCTTGTAAATAATGACTCTAGAGCAAAGTGCTATGTTTGTAAATAACTGGTTTTAGTTCTTTCAGATGTATTTCACAGTTTATTCCTAATGAGAAGGGCTCCTAACTTCTGTCTATGGAAACCTGTAACTGATGAATTAAATAAATTTTTAGCGTAACAATGCAGTGATATAAGCCCCAGAGCTAGCTGTAGGAGGAAGTCTGTAAGGCAAGTTTGTGGCTATTTTTAGTTTATCTGATGGCCATCTCTCCTATGAGATAGAAAATTTCGCTTTTCCATTAGTATGGATACAGGTTCTGAAACACTGGTGCCCTGTATATGTGGTTATATACCATACACACATAAGGCCTACAGCTCCCGACTGTTTTAATCCAAGGCATCGAAACTGTCAAAAAGAAGTGAAGATCAGCTTACTTATGACCAAGTATTTTACAATTATAAGGGATGTAGCCTGAATTTGGGGGGTGTGCAAGCAGCTCAACATGAAGTTTAGTGTTAATTTGTTCACCTAATTTGGAACAGGTTCCACTTTGTCTAATGTTTCTGTTTAACCAAACCAGCAGTTTCACTGGTTTCTATGACTTTGCACTTCCTTCCAGCTGTCCCAATGGACCATCCCTAGTCTGATCTTCACCCTATTGCCATCAGTGCCACCCTCAATATTTCCAACATGAAGAACAACATAACGTCATTTTGCTCCTGCAGCGTCTTTTCTTCTTGCTCGAGAGTCATCTGTAACTTCACTAAGAGCAGTAGTTGTTTTTTAGAGCATTTTGCTCAGTTCAACATTTTTTCTTCAACATCTCCACCCACCAATCTGCGTCTCCCTCTGTAATACAACTATCACTGTCATACACTGAGCGTCTACTGGCATCATCCTGTCACTCTCTTTCTGAGACAGATTATAATGAGGGGACATGTTAAAGTAGGCCAAGTCTGGGAAGCCGCTGAAGGCCTGCAGCTTAATCAGAGGTCTGTTCATCAAAATGAACTCTGCTCAGATTCATTCTTGTGGAATGCACAGAATCCTTGTAGATGTATGTTACGGATTAGTCTCCGGCAGGTCAATTTGATTCTGGTTAATCCTTCTGGGAAACAAAGATCAGTTTAAAAAAAAAAAAGGGGAAAGAAAAGTAGAGGATGCATGAGAAGGCCAACTTTTGTATACAATGTTTTTGTTTGCTTAGTGAAGAACAAGTTAATATGCTGTTTCTATTAATTATATATTGATTTTTCTGTGGGGAGAGCTCCTCCTCATGAGTCTTTGTGAATTATTTTCACTGAACAATTGCTACGTATCTCCAAATTCTCCCAGTCTGAAATGCATAGGGAAGGAAAAACCCCATCACAGAACAGCATGAGTTGTAAGGTATGTGTTAGTGCTTAGGCAGATCAATCATTTTATAATTGGCTGTAATTTGCAGTTCCACCAGCTATGATGTTTTCTTTTTCTCCCTGCCCCCCCACAGCTTAGTCCCACTTAGAAAGGTGAGAAATCCTCTGTTGTCTCTGAAAACATCAAATAAATCTTTTTACTCTGTTTCTTACTATTGAAAAACCTCTCAGATCGGTATAAAGGGGAAGTAGGTAGGTCAACAGCAAACAGGAAATGCATCAACAGTGATTAGATACCATCATGATGGGGCTGATGGAAAAATATTCTTAGATTTTAGGGCGAGAAGCAACCGTTGTAATCATTTGCTTTCACTTCCTGCACAAAATAGGCCAGATAATTTCACCCAGTGATTCCTGTGTCGGTAAAAGATTGACTCCAGTTACTGATGTCACTGTGCTTGTTGCTTTTGCTGTCTTTGGGTATCTTTTGGAAAATTAAGTACTTGATGTTGAGGTGCTCTGAAGCCTTGATTTCTCCATGGGCAAACCACATGAGGAGCATGATTTTATGCTGTGCAGTCAGTTGGTTTCTGTTCCTATTTATGTATGTGCTAGTAGGCCTTTGGGGTCATAATTCTGAGATACAGTGATTTCTCCTGGAGATAGTAGCAGTTCATTTTCAAAATAACAAGTGCTCATTTCTGGACATGTATTAACTCTTTCTATAGAATGATTGAGCAAATAAAAACATATCAGGACAGAAGATGGAATTATTGCATCTAGCTAGTTCCTGCATAATTCTGTCTAGAATGTATAGAAACACATACGTGGAACACACAAATGGGTGCTGCATACTTGGCAGCCTTTAAAGAACAGTTGCTTCCTTGTTAACTAAAAGCAAGACATGGACACACAGCCAGCAAGGTTTGATTTATGAAATGGTGTAATCAGAGCTTCATTCACACCTTTAGAGTGACTACATTGCATTTAGAAAGGCTGATTTCAATTCAGTGATTTCCCCTGAATAGCTTGATGGCAGCAGACTGTACCTGCCTCAAAAAAAACAAAACAAAACAAAAAAACCCCCCAAAAACCAAAATGCCAGTCACTCATGCAATGTCTAAAATCATTCAAACAAATCCTTCTGGGGTGACTTTTTAGATGGAGCTGGATTCTATGCCTGTGCATAGAGATGTCTTCAGGTTCTTTAAGTGGGATGAATTTCATTTTACAAAATTTTTCTATTATTTGTGAATATAGGGTTAATGGGCCTTTGGGAATCCAGCAATTTTGTTGATAATGAATGTCTTGCAATCCAAAGTCAGTTCTGTTTTCCAGTAAGACTCAAGGCAGTGGGTCATATAATCTAATTTACTTCCTTATCTGCGTGCCAACCATGGAAGGAAGTTACCATTACCCTAAGTTGTTCTTCCTTCCAACTCAAAGAGAAAGGCAAAAACTAATAAGTGATCCAGAACTGGGTGGTAAATGTTTCCAGTGCCTCAGGGTGTTTTTCTGAAAGGGGACCTTTATTGATAGGATGCTCTTGTACCTTTGAATTAGTACTAGATCAAGAAATTTAAGGCTAGTGCCTAAGATTTAGCCAAACCATCTTGTATGGTCAATGGAACAGTTGAGGAGCAGATTCCCAACCGTGTGCGTTCAGAATGCGGGGACACTTGGAGTTTGCCTGTCCTGCGAGCAACCGGGGACAGTCCTAGAGTTGTTTTTCATTTGGGCTGAACTGCTTTGGTCCTAAAGGGCTTCATTTAAAGGACTGTATGATCGCTTTTCTTAGGAATAATCTGAGTAACAGTTTGGGGAGTGAATGGTTTAGAGTGATCTGCTGTGCTTTTCAGCTTCTGGGCATCCTCATAGGCTAAAGTGTCTCGAGCACCAAGCTCGGTTATCTCTATGGCTGTCTAGTGCATATAAAGGCTTGCACATGGCAGCTAGCACAGTGTCCAGGACCCAGCCTCTGATTTTCATGGCTATGTTTCTAACTTGCATGTGTTCATTAGAACTCCAGAAAGGAGAGCACCTGCATATACTTCTAACAAAAGAGTTGGAGAGACCTATCACCGAGATGATTTTGCAGAGAGATGGTTAATAGTGACATATGTCAGTATCAGAGCTACAGTGTTAGGAAAATACCATTATTCTTTTATAAAGCATTCCTAAAGCCATCACTTGTGATATTTGCAATGATAACTCAGGGTATGAAGGGAATACTAATGGTCTTGAGAGACTCACAATACAGCTGCTTTGAGAGTGAAAGATTTCTTCAGGAAAAAGTCTCCTGGAGTTTAATAGGGAAGATTTATTGTAGTCTATGAAGACTCCAAAAAAATATTTGTAATCCAGAGAAAACATGATGTGTTCAGCCACATTAAGAAATAGAGGACTTCCTCCTTATGAGTGCATCAGTTATTTCACAGTTTAATGACATACAGTTAAAATAACAGCGTTTTAGTAAAAATCCTTCATTGCGCACACACACGACAAATTAAAAATAAAGAATATCTCTTTTCTATGTTTCAGGGGTCAAATCTGACAGATATCTGCACACAGCTCTTGCTCCAAGGGACTTTGTTAAAAAT